TTCCATATTTATGGAAAATCAAGTGATTATTAAGAGTGACTCTCACTAATATATGTTACCATGTGGATTATTTGGTATCATTGTGCCATGTAGATATATAATAATATTAAAATATGTTTAGGTCCCTAATATAAATATTTATTTTTTAAAATAAAATAACATAGAGAAAAAAAATAGTAGCTTTGGATTTTTAAGGAATAAAAATTAAAAAAAAAACACTTTATAAAACTTAAAATTAAAATTTACTCATTTTATAAAGATTAAAAGTTTTAGAGACCAAAATTAAAATGTGCAGAAACAATTTAAGAATTCATTTAGGTAAACTTCTCCAAAAGTACTTCTAGGAGAGCAAAATATAAAAATAAAAATAAAATAAATACCTTGATGTACTAAAATTTGTTTATACATAAACTAATTTATAGAAACTTTCCTTTTAATTTCTCTAAAATTTTATTTTTGACTCATATATAAACTAGTCTTTAGTTTATAAAGAATTTTTTTTTTTTACAATTTATCTCTTCTAGATTTGGAGAAGTTTATCCCAACACATACCAAGTTTTATTATCAGTACAATATATACTAATAAGGTGATTGATATAGTGCATAAGTTCAGTATATGGTCCATCAATGAATAAAGGAATAGGAACTCTTTATTTTTTTTATATTTAAATTAGTTGAAATTATAGAAAAACACCTATTGTATTTCATCCTTCCTATCTTTTCTTCATTGTTGGTGGCCTCCTTGTTGCCTTTTTCATTGTTGTGACACTTTTTACCCCTAATGTCATAATACATAAATAATAAATTGAATTGAATTATATGATCTTCACAAATAAACAAAATGTGTTCACAAATAAACTAAATGTGTTCAGATAGAAAGTATTATATTTTTAACTTAATAAAATAACATAACCAATGAAATTGTAAGGAAATCAAACTAATATTTTTCAAAATAATTCAATAGAACAATATCCTAATCTAGTCCTAGTTATGTTTCAATGTCACATGTCTTATTAGAGAAAAATTTAATACTGAAGCTTAAGCCTCATCACTAACATTTTCAACCTCATGTTGATGATTACCTGCATAACAACCAAGGAAAACAACACAAAGCAAAGGGAGTGAGAAATATCTCACTTTAACTCACGATGCACGAATGCAAATCGGATAGTCAAACACAAATAATGAATATAAGATATAGCATACACAAACAAACATTATAACCATAATCATTTAGTCATAGCATGATAAACAATAATAGTTACATTAAAATGCGTTATGAAATGGAAACAAATTACATGATATCATGCATGTGGCACCAGCAAATCATCACATATCACACTAGTGAATTATTGCTAGCAATACACATAGAGTAATTTAGGAGTACGTGTTGGATCACACTCTCTGTGCACTCTCACTAGAAGGACATACTATCAAGGTTTGTTCGGGATAACTAAGTCATCCAAGATACATCTTATGCTCACAAGGGCCAGATTGGGACTCCCGAACCGAGCTATTCCCAAAGTTGGTTTCCAAGCTTTTATATAAGGGACCTTCCTTGGTGGTATATTTCATATCATACCCTTTAAATAATCTTTTATGCACATGATACACGTCAAACATACCCAATGAAATAACATACACATGATCTCACTTCACATATCACATATTCCTCATATCACCTCATATATCTCATGTACATTCTCAAATACATCAACTAATCATTAGTAAAAAGGTAGTATCAAAATTACAAGGATAAAATAGCCATCTAACATTCGTTGAGCGAGTTGAGCTCCCTGGAGCCTCTTGTTGAGCAAATAACATTTAGCTGAGCCACCAACATGTAGTTGAGTGACCAACATCTAGTTGAACGAGCTGGAGCTTCTCACTGAGTGACCAACATTTAGGTGAGCAAGTTGAGACCCCTGAGGCTTCTCGTTGAGTGACCAATATTTAGTTGAACGAGCTAAGCTCCTTAAAGATTCTCACTTAGCAACCTTGCACATCTCATTGAGCAAGAACACAATCTTCCTTCGTGGAAATCACGTCTCCTCAACAACTACAAGTTACCCACATCCAATTTCACACATAAACACATATACAACCAATAAAATTACTCTTTAACATGCAAATAACATTTCAAAATCACTCAACTTACACTTATTAATCAATAGTTTCACAATTTATCATAACAAGTTCCCTTAGGATTTCCCATAGAAACCTATAAGAACCTTAGATCGTACAATTACAATCCAAAACATATAATTGATCATATATTCTAACAACTCATGTCATTAATTATGAGTAAGAATAATAGAGAGCAAAACAAAAACATTAAGGCAAATCCCTCATACATAGGCATACATCATACACACGATTGGAGGTCAATTCCACTACCTGACATAAAAACCCACATCCAAAGCGAGGTTTCTCACTCCTCCTCTTACCTTGTTGAACACAAAAAGATGGATGATCGACTCTAAGTTGGTTTCCTTCTTGCTCCTGATTTTTGAGCATTGAACATAAAAAGGAGAGCGTGTACGTAAAATAGAAAAATGTGTAGAAACTAATCAAAACACTCCTTTTAAAAATTTAAATTCCCCTTAACTCTCATGTAGTTAAAACACCTAACCTAAGTTACTAATTCCTTTCCCTATTAATTAATTAAAATAAAACATTTAATTAAAACCTTTAATAAAACACCTTATATTATATTCTAAAACATATCAAATAATTAAAATAAATATTAAATAACTCTTATTAATTAAAATAAAAATATCAAAATTATTAATTAAATATTTATATTACATTTTGTGAAAAATAGAGTGTTACAATTGTCCTTTTCCTCAAACTCACCACTGACGTAGTTATCATCCTCTTCAACCTCACCATGACTTTGTCATCCTCTTTCTTGACCTCACCACTTATGTCTTTGTCCTCTTCCTTGACCTCACCATCATGCAATCAACAATTCCCATCACCATAAACAAAAATACCTGTTTGAGAATTTTGCTTGGTCTAATTCTATGTTTCATTCACAACCCTTTGATATTCACACTATACAAAGGCAATGTAGTGCAGAGGTCAAAGACAGATGCATCAAAGACAAATATGGTGTAAAGGTCAAAGGAGGAGGCTACGCAAAGGTTGGAGGAAGAGGTGCGACAACGGTCGCAAGAAGAGGCGATGCAATGTAAAGGTTAGAGGAGCATACGATGAGAAGGCCATGATTAGAGGAAGAGGTGCGATAAGGGTTAAAGGAGGAGGCATGTAGAGAGGAGATTAGTTGTGTTCATACTAAAGGATAAAAATGACATTTTAACTTTTAATATAATTTTTAATTATCATATTATTTCAATTATTAAGATAATTTACACTGTTCATTATGTCCAACAGTGATAATAGTGACTCACCCATGAACCATTTGATTTAGAGGTGATAAATGCATAGATCAGATAATTTTTTAAGTTGATCATAATGTATTAGATAAAAATAATTTATTAATTCATTTAGATTCATTAAAAATTCACATAAAAATCCAATTCATCTAATCTATTTAAAGCAAAAAATCTATCTGATTCATCCATGAATAATTTTTTTTATGAATGGATATTCAATTCATCCATAAAAATATTATTTTAAAAATTAAAAAAAATTTAATTTTTTAAATATTTTATTTTCTCTCTTTTCTTAATAAGTTTACATTTTTATATAATCTTTTAAAATTCACAAGAATTTTTTTTTATATCAAAATAGTCTTTTAAAATCTCAATTCAATAAATATCACGTATTGTAACTCAATGAATTTTAAAAAAGTAGTAAATGAATGACTAATCATTTATAAAATTAAAATGATGAATTATATCCAATCTATTATTTATTTTTATTGTAATAAATGAATTGAATGAATTTACTTGTAGATAAATCGAATGAATGATAGATAAATTCATTCATTTCTCACCCTTTCTTCACCTTTCTTGATTCATTGGTTCACAAAAGATTATGCCAGCTACTCTCAGATTCTTTAAGTAATTTACGTCTTCATGTTGTCAAGGCAAAATCCTATACTTAAATAGAACTTAGTTCTACTATTAAAAAGAGTAAACGAATGAAAGCATTCATTTAAAAACTATATTGTCAGTTACTAAGAAATTTCCTTAGAAAGGAATGATGACCGCTATGAAACTCCTAATGGACAAGGATTCAAATTCACACATAAAAGCAGACCCACAAAAACAGAATAGTGCGTAGCTTTACCTTTATCCAAAACCATCCATTTGAACCTCCTAAGCCAACACGTAATAGGAACATGTTACTTTATTTACACTTTATCCTACGATTCCCTCCACACATTATCATAGAGCTTCTTAGTAATTGAAAATAGAATTCAAAGGGTGACCCTTCACCAAAAATAAGAATAACTAAATAAATACTAAACTATTATACTTTTCTTAAAAGTAAAAAGTAAAGATTTTCTTTATGAACCACGTACATCCTTTACGATCCTATTCAAATCATGATAAACCACGTATATCCTCTAAGACTGAAGTACCACTACTCACGTCAATACTCTAGGTCAAATAAACCTCAAATATTCTCTACGTTAAAATTGCAAAACTACTATTTACAGTAAAACTCTCCCAAGTATTCAACACTATCAGAACTAGTTTAAATCTCTCACTATTCATTTTTTATCCAAATTGATTTTTGTTCACATTTTTTAAAACTATAATTTTAGTATTTGTACTTTTTATAATTAATGAACTTCATTGTCTTCCTGAAACTTAAAATACTAAGTTATGAAATTCACCAATTATTAAAAATGAAGACCAAAAGTATCGTTTTTAAAGGCAAACCAATTTCATGATGGACTTTTGAAAGAGGAAAAGGTGGAGTCCTCAAAGTGATGACATAATCCAATAGCGACCATGATGATAGTACAAAGATACGAGGGGTCCATTAGTGGATTTATATTCTTGCAAATTAGCTCAAAAAGTCACTCACCACAGCAAATTAGAAGCCTCACATTAACATACAGTTAAAAGATAATAATAAAACATGGTCACTCTGCAACATGTAACATGTTCAATCACAACAGAAGCAGAAAGTGTTTGACATGGACAAGACTCATAATAATAATAACAATATATACACGCATATATCTTCAATCAAAACGACAGAAGACTTGATCCAGTCACCACCACATACAGTTATTCTATCACCACCTCAGCATGCCCTTAAAACTCAAAACAGAATCCTATCTTCATCTGCCTCCTCAGCAATCTGCAGTGATGAAACTGCTTGTGCTGCTATGAGATCCGCAGAGAAACCAGCAGGTCCCAATCCTGCATCTTCATATACTGGTTGTTCATGCACATTCTTTTCAAAAGGCTCTGATGAGAATGACCATTCACCATTTTCAGCAGCATCCCATTTGCAACCATATCTGTATGCATCAGAGACCCAACCCACTCTCTCAAAAGACCATCTCCCACCATCTAGATGTGGGAGGCAACCACTTTCTCCCCCCACAAAGATGCCAAGATTTCGGTTACAATTCCATGTCTTGCACCCGTCGTTATTGATCACAACCTTACAAGAATCATCCGAGTCTTCGCCGAGTAGAACATGGAGAGCCACGGCCTCAGCGATTGCAGCACCCTCTTCGTCGAGCCTTTGTTGCTCTTCTTTCTTTTTCTGTTTCTTTTTCTCAAGTTCAGAAATGATGGCTGCAGATGTGGCAAGCGCTTTTTCCAAGCGCCTCTTTTTCTTCTCGGCCTGTTTAAGACGATCCAACTCGTCTTTCACCTGCTTCTTCTTCACCTTTCTCACATGTTGCGCTTTATTACAAGCCATTGTATCCATAGAATTTACTACACTTATATAGTAAATACTAAAGTATCGTCTTCGAGTGTTCCTTCAACTGAATTTCTTAAGAGGTGTATACATTTCTTTCTGTAATTATTTCCACTCTTTCCCTAATTGTAAT